ATTTCTTTGGGAAGTCCCAGGCCTTTGCATGCCCACAGGAGCCTGCTTCATTTGGTACATGGGATGAAGATTTTTCTGTGCTATTGGTTTGCAGAGCCAGGAGCCACTCTCTGGTACAGTCTAGTTCCTCTGCATCCTGGCTGTGTTTCCCAATGACCTGGGGAGGGTTTACAAGCTCCCCTAGAGAATGCCCTAGTCTCACCTTAGACCTTGTCAGTCAATCTCTGGGGGTCAACCGAGGCTCAGGAATTTGTAACAAGCTCCATAGGGGACTGTGATGTGCACCCAAGGTTAGGAGCCACTGCTCTAGGGGCCACAGGATCCTAGAATCCACAGGGTCAGGGACCAGGAACAAGCGCCCCAGGAGATTCGTAAGTAGACAACATTGGGAACCAATGAGAGAAAACAAGGTTAGAATTCTCAAACTTTTATTATTGCCTGTGAAGGCTTCTTTAGTATCACTGAATTCATTTACTTCTTCTCACAGTCAAAGCCTCCTACCAAATGGAAATAAATAAAAAAAGGTACTGTGAAGTATAATTTACTGTGGGAATGATGGACAGACGATTCCAAGCTTTATAACGTTACTTTAAAATTTGTGTGATAGATATGAAAATAAAATTTTTTGTACATGGTAGAAATGAAGATGCTCACTGTCTAAGAGGGTTATAGAATTATAAATTTTAGAGAAACAGGTGTTATCTAGTCTGACAACCTCCTCTCTAGCAGCCCTACAAGGCACCGTTAAACCTCTGCCTGAGGTTTGCAGGAAGTGCTGTATCAAAGGGCAGCCTGCTCCTTTTTAGCAAAGCTTTATGTGTTCAAATTTTGTTCCTCATATATTACTCAAACCCCTATTCCATTATTCTTTCTTTCTTTCCATCCATCCACCCTACAGCTAGTCACAGAATCATTATTTTACAGACTGAGAAACTTAACATGTCTACACTTATAAGTGAGAATCCTGAAGTCCAGAGAAAGAAGGTGATTTTTCTGGAGCTGCAGCTAGTTCATGACAGAGCACAGTCTTGGACTTCTTGATGCCCAGCCCCCATGGCCCTTCTACTATTGCACACATTCCAACACCAGTACTCCTACTGAAGTTAAACTTCATGCAATCGCTTAGGGAAATGATAACTGAATTAAATCTGAGTCGGCTGTGGTATGTTGCAATTTTCAATAAACACTAAACTTCATAGGTATAGTGCCTCCCAACAGACATAATACTGCAGCCATTAGAATGACACTTAGAGAAACACAATAGTCTGCAGAGCCACCGGCATGATGGAGGCATGGTAGGGCACTAAGCAGCCATGCTCAATAGCATCTGCAGACCCCTGGGGGTCCACATTCCATGAGGTCAAGTTCATTTTCATAATACTATTAAAATGTGACTTGCCTTTTTCATTGTGTTAACATTTTCCACTATGGGATGATGCAAAAAGCAACGATGGGTAAAACTATAGGTGTCTTATATGAATAAAGGACAACAACTATTTTAATAGTTACTAGTTTCTTCACTATCATGCACTTAACTATAAAAAAAAAAAAGCCAGTTTCACTTAAGAATATCCTCGATAAAGAATACATATTTTTAATAATCTGTGTGACAAAGTGGGAAGCATGCTTAAGGCACTTCTGCAACATACCAAAGTATGAGGGTTGAGGAAAAGCACTCATGTGGTTGAGTTTCAAGCTGACCTGTCGATTTTTTTCATAGAACACTATTTTTACTTAAAAGAAAAAAAAAAAACAGCTGATATACTATACTTATATATGTAAATAGTAAAAGATTTTTCTGAAGAGATAGATGTTGATAAATGTAAAATCCTATTATTATCAACTACTGAAATGTGTCAACATTTGGAGAATCTGCATAATTAGTGAAACAATTTTTCCAAATGACCAAGCATGATGTTAAAAAAATCATGCATGGTGAGAAAATCTATTTAGAGTATAAGATAGACCAGTAGATTTTAATATAAATTAGGAAAAGTTTATTGACATGGTTTCAGAGTCCATTTATCAATGAACCTATGAGGAACTTCTACTTGCTGGAGTTTAGTGTAATTCCAAAGAATATCTACAATTATTCAGGGTCTTTTCCATGTACATCTTGAGAGGTTGGATTGTTTTTATAGACAGACAAAACTACATATCTCAACAGATCAAATGCAGAAGCAGATGAGAATCTAGTTGTCTCCCATTACAGAGTTTGCAAAAATGTAAAATAGTGTCACTCTTCTCACTACATTTTCATTTGAAAAATATAATTTCTTCCATAAAAATGTTATTTCTATTAACATGTAATGGGTTTGTTATTTTATTTTTATTTTTGTAAGAGTTTACTTGAGCCAAACTGATGACATATGCCAGGGAGCAAGATCTCAAATGCTCCTGGTTTATTGTTATTTTAAAATAAATGAAACATATTTTTCATTTCTCAGTTTAAATTTTTCTATATAGGTAGATATAGCTCACATAAACTAAAGTTCTTTAGGATTCTCAAAGTTTTTAATATAAAGGGAAATTTGACACTTTTACAATATTGAGTCTTTAAAATTGAGTCTACCACTTAAGAGTTGTGTCACCTTGGATCCCTCTGAACTTTGCCCTTGAGGTTAAGTAATTTGCCCCAGGTCTCAGAGCTAGCAAGTGGTATAACCCAGCTTTGAACACCATAGCAATTCCTTGCCCACATTAACTTAATGGCAGGAAAAAAGAAGTTCTTTACAATCCTTGGCATACGATCAGGTTTTTTCTTTATAGAAGTACTGATTCAAAAAGAAAGACTGAAAAAATACCTTACTAGTAAAGGGTTAACAAGCAAACCACTGTAAATGGGTCCACATGACTGTTAATCATGGCATATGGAAATATTGCTTAGTATATAGAACTCTTCATTATAACAGCCTTCAGGATCATTATCTCTAAAGGACAGCCTGCCCACACTGCATTTCCCCTACCCCAGAAAGCTAGATGGAAAGTCAGGTTGTCCAAATAAATATCTTGTGTTACACCGGCTTCTTCGCTACCAGGGCAAATTCAGACCAAATGCACCAAGCTGAGGCTAAGGACACTTGAAGGTCCTTCCGTTATGATAATTATATTCATCTATTTTATAAAATAGGAATGGAAAGTAAATATACCATATTTCAACTGAAAGAGAAAAGCAGGAAATACATTCTACCATTAAAAAGGCTTCAAGACACCAACGGCTTAGTAAGCGATTGTTGAATGAATGAAAGAAACATACCTGTACTTGTGGCAGGTCAGCAGCTTGGTCTGGTGACATATGTTCACAGGAGAATGCAACTGAATAATTATTTAAGATCTGTTTCAAATTTTCTATTTCCTCGTCGCATTCATTTGTCTGTTTTATGACTATCTATAAAATAACCCCCCCAAAAGAAGAATCTTTGTCATATCAAAGAAATAGATCGATGGGCTACTTCCAATGGCTATTCCCATCACAAGTTTCAATCAATTACAACAAACATGCACCTACACAGATTTCAATAGGAAATGGTAACCTAAATATGGAAAACAACATTTAGAAAGCTGGCACCTGAACTTCTTGCTCTACTAGATGCCACGCAAGCTTGTGCAGTGCTTGGACTAGAGGTCTAAGTAGACACACCTTTGCTCTTAAGTATTTCCAGCCTAGTGAGTGGTCTTGTTCTGGGAAGCATTTTATAGCAGGTTAATACAAAGTTGCTAAGTTTTATAAAATTATTGATATATCACATATGCAATTTTAATACATATTCCATGTGAGGCTTGACAAATTTTCCCGTTCCAGCCACATCCTCTCCTGGTACCCACTGTGATCAGTAGCGAACATTTTATGAGTAAAAGGTTGAGGGGTTGAGAGTGGTCTAACTTTGCAGAATAAAGCAAAACTAACCAGACCAATACCTGGAATCCAATGTTAAGTGATTCATAGAGCTCAAACCTGTTTGTGAACTAAATGATATGATCAAAGTATGATGAAATAAAGAAATGGACTTCAAAAGAAAGTCTAGGTATTTCCTTGGCATGCTTCAAATAAAGCGAAATGCCTTTTAAACTACAAAGTTTCGGGCCAACACCGAATTCTTCCTTGCATTTTCTTTAATAGTTAACCATACTTTTATTTGCAGGCTGGAAATGAAGAACTATGTTCACTGCACACACCTGTTACCCAGCCCTCAACAATGAGCAATAGTCTCATTACTCCTCCCAAAAGTAATTTGTCTCATTTTCCACAACAAAGATACTTACTTACAATATCTAAAGAATTAAAATAAATGTACCATATTCTAATGCTTTTCATTACCACCAGGTTATTTAGCTTTGAAATATATGAGATGACATCTGATTTCTACCAACACAATAAGATGAAAAATTTTAGCACAGTTAGACAGCTAACTTGGCACAAAATATAATTTCCTCTTCTATTTTCCCCCTTTCATCTTGTGAAGAAGCCACTTTCCAGCATAGTTAGGACTATTATTTTCTTTTCCTTACCAGGAGACCAATAAGCACAAAAAGATTAAAAATAATAGTACAAATTTTATATCTTTCTTTTTTCTTCTCTTCATATTATTAAAAAAATAGTACATTGAGTGCCAGATCTTTTCTCACCCTGTAGGTGTTAGGAAATGACATCAACTGATCAGCAGCCAGTCCAGAGAGACTGTATGAGTTAAGACTCAAACCAGAGATTACAGTGTCCTCAAATCTTAGAAGAACACAGAGTGACCACTTAAATGTGAATAGAATTTCAGTGGAAGAAAGAAGTAGCAGTTTCCTTCCTACAATCAGGTGGTGGTCGGGGAGGAGGGAAAAATAAACCTTTCTTCCTATCCTGATCCATCTAATCAGGAAATGTAGGCAAATGCGGGGAGGTCTACTAAGAGGGTTGAAAAGTCTGTGGAATTTAAGGTTCTTTCAACAACTTTCTGTTTTATGAGAGTGGTGGTTGACCTAGGAATACAAACCGAAGGGAAATTAACTTCCATCTAATGATGATTCCTGATTTGTCACTGGAGATCAATCGAAACTTAAGAAAAAAATAAAAATCCTCTGGGGAGAGACTTAAAGATGTCATCAGTTAGAAGAAAGAGATCCCAATATGGAGAATGACACCAGGAGTCTAGAGACTCAAATTCTTGTCCTATTTGTACACAAATGAATCTCGACATAAGTTAATTCAGTGGTTTTAGCAAGTCATCTAACATTTTCTACCTTCTAATACTGATCTCTTTATAAGTAAAAATAGAGATGGCAAAGTGCCTACTCTCTCTGTTATCAAATGTTTGAGAATAAAATGAGATCGATTAATATGAAAGTGGCTGAGATGTATAAAGAGATTGTTATGGGGATGATTACTGCATGAGTCTGTCGACCTCATGCGATTGTGAAGGTACGGTTCAAGTTTGAATCTATTTCCACGGCATTTTACCCACATGGGTCTTCAATAACTGGAGAATGGAATTAAACAGACCATAGCAATGCTTTACTATCTTCAGCCAGAACAAGGGTAAGAACTGAGAGAAGTAACCATAGCCCCATTTGAGCAAGAAAGTACATTCTTATATCAAATGCCACTTCCTGGATAATAGCACTTGAAGACACCAAAAAGAATCAACGTAGGCAGCATCTTATTGGCACGGCAATTTGATCTACCGTTAAAACTAAAACAAAACTAGCTTCTGCGGAAAATTTGCATCCAATAAGTTGGCTGTCAACATAAACTACTCACCTTTAATAACTCATTTTGTTCCTGGGTCACATTTTCCAAAAGTTTTATTTCTTGTAAAAGCTGATTTGTCCGCTGAAACACAGGCAGAGGTTTCATTCCTGTCTGGGGTAACCTCAGTTCTACTTGGTAAGACATTATTTCTGCAATGGTTTTCTTCATAGGATGTATATTTTCAAGCAGGACCTTAATTATATCAGAAAAGCATGGTTCGCAAATTTAAAAAAAGGCTACTGCAAAATCTAATTATTCAAAATTATAATACTGTATAACTTAATCTTTATAGTTTTGATTTTTAAAACATTTCCTTAGCTAACACTGAAAAGGATTATTCTATCTCTTACGATCTGGTAGTTAAAGTTCTCAGAAAAGAATGCCTGAGGCAAGAGTAACTTCCTGGCACCAAAGTATGCATTCGGACAACCCTTTCCGTCCTTCTCTTCCTGCCAGCCTCTCTGCAGAACTGCTGTCTTGCTTTGCATACTGTCACCAGGCTGTGAGCTGTGTAACCGTGGGCCCTGCATCTTATTCACTTCCGTAAACCGCACCTAGATGGGCCTTCCCACATAGTAGGCTCTCGAAAAATGCTTTTTGAATTGAACAGAATTGATCTGTCAAATTTAATAAGTCCTCAAAGTATAATTATTTTATTTTAATGACATCTGATCCATAGAAATCTGAGTTCACGAAATCAACAAATGAATGAAAAAAGATTATTCATTTTGCTAAGTACACTTCATATATATCATCTTGCTGAACCCTCACGATTACCATGGGAGGTATTATCAGAACTTCCATTTCACAGGTAAGGAAATTCGGTTCACAGAATACTGAAAACCAAGGTGAAATGAACTGTAAGAAGCAGTGCTGAGATAAGAACCCAGGCTGCCTAATCCCAAAGCACATGCTCCTAACCACTGGGCTGAGGTAGACCGAACACCCATGTGCAATTCAGTATATCCCAGTTTCTGTGCTAGGGACCTTCTATATAATTGTCCAACATAACCACTATAATACTAATGTGCAGATATGAAAAAGAATCCAAGAAATGTTAACAACTACTCAAAGTCACAGAGACATTAAGCAGTGTAGCTGGGGCTGGAATCCAGTTCTCCTGATTTAGAAGCTCAAGATCTTGGAGTATTAAACAACTAGATTTGACCTGAAGGCAAAACTTTCAAGCTTTGAAGTTTTTGGAAGAAATTAAATGAAAAAAATAACCTATAGGAAAATTATCTTTATATAATAGTACTCTATGATTTAAAACATGATATTTATAGTTACTCATATCTCTTTCCCAACTTTATCATGCTATTACTCTAGCAAGACAAAATATTTTTAATCATATCGTATTAGTACATATCTAAAAATAAACATAGTAAGTATTATGAGAAAATATTTTAAATAATAATCCATAATTACCTCCCCATGCTTAAGATGTTCTTCGGGTGAAAAATCAAATATTTCTTTTGACAATAGGATAGCTTTGATTTTTGAAACTCTTTTCTCCATTGATTTTACTTCATTTTCAATAGCAACCACATCCTAGAATTTCAGAAACAAAAACACTCATGCAGTACATGTTGTATGTTAATAATCTATAAAACACAATTTATTGCCATTTGTTCTGTTCTCATATTTAACCAAAATATATTTGTCATTTATATCTCTTAAAAACTAACCAAGTGCACAGATAATGTCGATTGTTCTCAATAAAAATTGTTATTCTATTAAGCACATACCACACTACAAAGCATTGCTTACACCTTGTTGAGTCAAAGATCCTCACAGGGCCAGTTTCCAGTTACTTATACTATGAAAACAAAAGTACAGATGCTCCTTGATTTACAATGAGGTTATGTCCCTAATAAACTGAAAATATCATAAGTCGAAATGCATTTAATAGACCTAAGATACCAAACATCACAGCTTAGCCTAGCCTACCTTGACTGTGCTCCTAACACTGACACTGGTCTACAGTTGGACAAAATCATCTAACACAATGAATACACTGTAGGATATCAGTTGTTTACCCTCGTGATTGTGTGGCTGCTAGGAACTGCAGCAGCAGCACGAGAGAGTATTGCAGTGCATGTCGCTAATCGGGAAAAGATTAAAATTCAAAATCTGAAGTATGGTTTCTACTGAATGCATATCTCTTTTGCACCATTGTAAAGTCAAAAAATCTTGAGTTAAACAATCTTAAGTTGGGGACTGTCTGTAGCATAATCTGAATTAATTTTTAAGTAAATTCTCAATTATCTGCAAACTCTAGATTTATCTTTGGAATGTGTTTAAACACTTGAATACAAGTGAGTCCAACATTTTAAAAATTCTCACCACTTTAAGTAAAATGATAGTCACCCTTAAAAAATGAACACACAAGGGGCTGGAAAAATTGACAGGATTTTCCAACAATAAGCTTGTTGCCATGCAAAGTGTCACTAAATTACTTTATAATTACTCACACTGTAAGAGGGCCTTTAAGACCTTTACTTTAGAGCTCAAAGAAGATGAACTATAGCAATAAAAAGGTACGGTTAATAATCAAGGGGACAGGGAAAAAAACTACATAAATATATACTGAGGGTTTCAAATTATAGCAGTTGGAGCCATTCATAGGACAAACAACTTTATAAGCAAGTGAAACAGTAAGTGTAGTAATTTTATAGTGATATCACCAAATTTTTAAGAAAAAGTTAAATTATATTGAGATTATTTTCTGCACCTTATTTTGAAAAAGGACATAAAAATATACAATGTATTTTAGAGAATTTCCATCAAAATTAGAGAAGCATTTAAAAACAGTGGAATAAGCTTCATTGACCAAGAATATTTAACAATAATTATTCCTTTAAGTTATTTAAGTGGTGTATAATGTAACTGAAAAACAAAGGTAAATAATTAAGACTAACTGTACCTGCCTTTGCTATGTGATTCCATCCTTAAATAAATGCCTCACCCATTTCAAGCTAAAATAAATACAATTATTTAAAAATCTAGCGGCTAGCATACAGTAGCCCCTCAATACATATTTGCTATTGGTGAATGAAGACTTGGAAAGTTATGTTTTAATTCTCTCTTTACTAATCCATGCTTTTAAATCAACAATATCTCTTCTCTGACAAAGAGAAATCACTGAGTTTATTGGGACAGGATTCTTCCCTTTAAATCGACCACTCCTGGACTGAGAATGGGAATATGGTTTTTATTACAGTTGCACTATAGGTTGCAAAGTAAAATACAATTTAAGAAATAAGAATATAAATGACAAAAAGGTACCAGATCAATGTGTCTTCATATAATTAGTTGATTAGCAGTATAACTTTAATATAGTAAATGAAACATAAATTAGATATAAGAAGTCACATCTTTATAGTGCTAACTTACATCAGCCATTCGCTGAATCTGTGGCAGGCTCTCCATGATATTTTGTTGTAAAGCTGCTACTTGACGACTTAACTCTTGTATGGACTGTGCTAAATCATCTGTTTCAAAAATTACTGACAAGTCTTCTAGATCAGTGAAAATTGAATGTAAAAGATTGTGCTTCTGTTCTGAATCTTCCAAAGCCATCTAGATAATGGGAAACAAGGCAGATAGGGGAAGAAAGAAACAATAAGATACTGAAAATTGATTAAAATTTAAATCAGAGAAAATTCTGTAACTCTGTATGGTGACAGATGTTCACTAGATTTATTGTGGTGATCATTTCACAATATATACAAACATCTAACCATTATGGTGTATACCTGAAACTAATAAAACATATGCCAGTTATACCATAATAAAAAAATTTAAATCAGAGAAAATTTAATTTTCTCAACATTTCAAACTCCTGTTCATTTCCACTTTTGTAATAAAATGTTGAACGCTCTCTATGGTCAGTGGTAGTGGATGCCTTAAGAGAGTCTGCGATTTTGGTGGTCTAGCAGCCTGCTCCTCTAGCCATCTTTAACGAACCAAGAATACCTGGCCTGTAGGCCATCCCTCTGAAATTTGGAATTGGGGCCAACAAAGCCATTCATGCTATTTCCAATTGGCTGGACTTATAATAGATAAGTCCATTGAGAGAAATAGATAAATGAAGAGGGGATGAGAGAAATAGATAAATGAAGAGGGGATGAGAAATGAAGAGGCAGCTCAGTGGCTTGCCATTCCTGGTGCCAGTGTTCTCCTTAGGCCTTACCAGATGGTGCCACTGACTTCAAGGAGACATCACCATAGCTTGAGATGACTTGAACAATGCAATACTAAAAGAGCTCTAATAAAACCAAATGAAAAATTATCTATTTTTTGAATTTCTTAGACATTCCTCCTTATAATTTCTTTCTTTTTCTTTTAATAATTACAATGTATCAATCTTCAAATTTAAGATTTCAAAATATCTTAGCTACCTATTGCAAATGTTCAACTTGCTATGTAGTCTCAAATAATTCCATAAAAAATAACTGACATGAGAAAGTGCACTTACTTATACAACTAGAACTCTAGTCATTAAGTCTCTAAAAGTAATCAGGTTATTTAGAATTCTGTATTGGCCTTATTCAAAATCCTAGAAGGAGAAAACTTTAAGGAAAACAAAACTTAAAACCAATGTTTTTATCAATAATACTATTTATAATAACATCAAAATACATGAAATACTCAGGAATAAATTTAACAATTTATATGCAAGACCTGTACACTGAAGACTATAAAACACTGCTAAAAAAATAAAAATAAAAAATAGGTATGTCATGTTCCTAGATTTGAACAGCCAATACAGTTAAGATGTCAATTCTCAACAAACTGATCTACAGAATTAATGCAATCACACTCAGAATTCCAACAAACCTCACATAGACACTGACAAGCTGATTCTAAGATTTATATAAAATCCAGACTAACCAAAACAGATATGAAAAAGAACTAAGTTGTAGAATGTATGTTACCTGATTTTAAGACATACTATAAAGCTACAGTAACCAAGATTGTGTCATATTGGTGAATAAGCAGAGACGTGGATCAACAGAACATTAGAGAGAGCTCAGAAATAGACCCAAAAGGGACCAAAGTAATTCAATGGTGAGTCTTTTCAACAAATGGTGCTAGAATAATTAGATACCCACATAGAAAAAAATAAACCTGGATTCTCACTTCTTACTATATACAAAAATTAAGTTCCTTGAAATGGATCATAAGACCTAAAAGTAAGAGTTAAAACTATAAAATTTCTAGAAGAAAAAATAGGAAGAAATCCTTGTGACTTTGGGTTAAAGATTTCTTAGATACAACACAAAAAAAATCATAAAAGAAAAATATTGAAATTGGATTTCAATAAATTAATAACATTTTCTCTTTGAAGGACAATATTGAGAGAATGAAAAGACAAGCCACAGACTGGAAGAAAATATTTGTAAATCATTCACCTAATAAACAACTGGTTTTTAGGGTATTTTATAAATAACTCTTACAACTTAATAATAAAAAGACAAACTAATTAAAAATGGGCAATAAAAAAATTGAAATGACACTTCAAAAAGTGTACAAATAACAACACACGAATAAATGCTCAAATTAATAAATCATTAGTCATTAGAGAAATGTAGTTTAAGTCACAATGAGATAATACCACATTACTAGAATGGCTAAAATTTAAAAGACAATATCATGTGCAAGCCAGAATACAGAGCAATTGGAACTCACATTGCCAGCGGGAATAAAAAATGGTACAGCCATTTTGGAAAAACAATTTGGAAGTTTCTTATCTAGTTAAATATTTACCATAAAAGCCAGCTATCATACTCTTTGGTATTTACCAGATGAAATGACATGAAAATGTATACAAGGATTTACATATGAGTGTTCATAGCAGCTTTGCTCATAATGGTCTGTGGTAGGCAGCAGTAATCCTCACTTTCTGGTACTCATGCCCTTATAATCAGCTCCTTTGAATGTAAGCTGGGCTAATTTATTTCTAATATGATATGGCATGAAGCATATCACGCGATGAAACTTCCAAGATTAGATTACAAAAAAGACGATTTCTGTCTTGTGAGCACTCTCTTTTTAATTGTTTATGGAGAGGGAAGCCAGCCTCCATGTCATGAGGCAGCCTCATAAGGAGGCCCACGTTTTTTTCCCCTATATATGGAAGTGGATCTTCTGTTGCCTGCCAAATGCCAAGTGATTGAGCTTGAATGTGTATCCTGTCTCCTCTCTCACCCAAATTGAGACTTCAGATGAGACCACAGCCTTGGCCAACACCGTGACTGTATTCTCATGAGAGACCTTGAGCCAGCGGTACTCAGCTATGCCTGGATTCTTGGCCCACATTAACTGTGAGATAATAAATGTTTGTTGTTTTAAGCTGCTAACTTTTGGAGTAATGTGTTACACAGCAAGAGATACTGAATATATAGCCCCAAACTTGATACAACCCAAATGTCTATTAACTGGTGAAGGGATAAACACATTGCATATTTCCATAAATGTAATACTATTCAGTAATCAAAGGAACTAACTATCTGTAAATGTAATGACCTAGATGAATCTCAAAAACTAAGTAAAAGAAGTCAGGTACTATAAACTATAGACAGTATGATTCTATTTATAAAGTACTGTAGAAAAGGCAAAACCATAGTAATAAAATGCAGTGAGTAAGTGGTTACGTAGGGCTGAAGATAGTCGAAAGGGGAATGAATGACTGCAAAGGAACACAAGAAAACTTTTTGGGGTGATGCGAAATGTTCCTTACACTGATGATAGTGGTAATGGTGGTTACACCAATTGTATACCTTTATCAAAACTCTTCTAACTGTACACTGAAAATAGGTATATTATGCTACATATAAATTATACCTCAATGAAGCTGATTAAAAAAATAAGCTGTTTTCCTATTTTTACAATGACAATTTATGTTGCAATGATGCTTAATTACAACAGCAATCTTTGGTTATAAACAGCACCTTTAGGTTATAAAAATCTATTTTAACAAATCCAAGCTAAATAAAAGGTTAGAGTGCAAGAAAAATAGACATTTTAAAGCTTAGTTGAGAGTTTCAATTATTTCTTTAAGAGTCATTTTAAAAATCAGTGCCTGGTAATGCTAGAAAAATGTAAAACGGTATCCTAAAAATAAGGACAAAATGGGGCACTCACATATGACTAGTTATTTGAGACTTACTTGCCATTGGGGGATTTATTAGGATACATTCTGTAGGAAATTAGCCTGCATCTCCCCTTGTCCCTATTTGAATCTAGCTCAAAGAGTTCTACTCAGCTCTAGCTCACAACCACCAGCAAATTAGGATGTCCTGAATAGTTTGAGAGATGCTTTCACATTTTTACATTTGTGTTAGTAGAAGGTAGCAAAGTCCAACTGCTTTTGCCTGAGTTCACATTTGTATGATTTTTTTTTATGTAAAAAAAAAACTTATAATAAGCATTTGAGGAAAAAAGCATCATTTCTCTCTTCTGTCTTTGTAAACTCTGAAAATGGTGAGAACTACAGGCAATTTAAAATAAAGGAGGATGTGGAAAGTCAACACAAGAGATGGGGGCAGAAATCACAGGACGGGGGAAGAAAAGAAACAAATGGGAGAAAATGCAACATCTTTAGAACTGTTACTATGGGGAAAAAATATGCCAACAAATCTCAAACATCAAGGAGATATGAAGTCAACACTTGTTCACTTAGGAACACACTGTGCTACTCTAAAGATATCAAAAGGAGTTGGATCAACTTTGTGGCTTGATTACTCTAAAAACTGTTACAAAATAAACCTTTTCCTAAATGATTCTTTCTCATGGCTGAATAGTATGATAGAAGGGAAATGTGCCTTTCACAGTAAAACAAGCCTATACTTGGCATCTGGAAGATTTTCGGCAGTCAAGACCCGCACAGATCGACGCTTTCATTTGTTGTCTTTATGAGCTAGCATGGAGACACGGGGTCTCTGAGGAGTACCAGGAAGGACGGGAAATTTGGAATCATGGTGTGCTAGACTTGGAGGAACCATAGATTAGTTTTCTAATGCTGTGTAACTAATTACCACAAATTTAGCAGCTTAAAATAAAACAAATTTATTATCTTGTGGGAACCATGGCTCAGGAATCCAGGCCCAGATTAGGTGGGTCCTCTGCTTAGGAAGTTACAAGGCTGCAAACAAGGTGCCATCTGGAGCACGGGTTTCTCTTACAAGTTCACTCAGGTTGTTGGCAGAATTCAGTTGTAAGACTGAGATCCCAGTTTTCTTGCTGGCTGTTGACTGGGGTCACTCTCAGCATCTAGAGACCATGCCGGGATCCCAGCCCCATGGCACTCTCATAATACGGCAGCTTACTTCTTCAAGCCGGCAAGAATCTCTCTCCAGTCTGCTACCAGGGAGTCTTACAGTCACATAACCATGAGTAATCATGTATTCATGGGAGTGACTATCCCATTACTTTAGTCATATAATAATGTAACCTAATCAATACAGTGACTGTCTCATCACATACTTACATTCTTGCCCTCAATCAAGAGGAAGACACTATACAAGTCATCATGTACATGAGGGGTCAAGAATATTGGGAGCCATCTTAGAATTCTGCCAACTGAAACCATCAACACGGTTCGGTGCAACATTCTTACTTCATAGATGAGGGAAACCGAGGCCCATAGAGGATACCCAAAAAGTCATGTAGTGGTTATCAGGACAGAAAGAACAAGATCCTGGTCTCTAAAATCCCTGTCTAGACCCTGTCACTGTTCTAAATTTCCTTCTGCCATTCAGTATGGCTGGAGACAAAAGTGAATTTTCAGGTTAAAAGAGAGGGGTGGAGGAAGCACAATGGTGATTAGTAAAGTCACTGATCATTATATGTAGATTCTATGACACCCAAGAAACACTGAAAGAACACTTACCTGAAGGGTGCTAGCGTGGTGACTCAGTGTCTTCGAAGAGTCATGGTCAGCAGGATTAGCCAGCAAACGACTGGTATTTTCTATCCAAGCTTCAGTATTCTTCAACAGATCATGGTATTCCTCCATCTTGATTGTGGCCTGTGAAAGAGAGGCGGTACCAAACTCAGTCTGACCGATGGCTCTACTTGAGTTGTTGTTAGCCAGTGGTGTATGAGGCCTAGCAGGGCTCTACTCTCTATGGCTGGAGCCACCCCCTCCAGTTTTGATCTTTCCAACTTTTAAGACCAATCCTGACCATGGCTGGAAAGGACTTAATGAAGTTCTACCCCAAAACTATGGGTCTCAGCAAAGGACGTGAGTTAGCCTTGCAACTAGTCTGGTTCCCATTTCACACTTCATTCTGAAAACTGGATTTGTATTTTGTCCTCCCGGACAGGGCTTTGTCCTACAATATCCCAGTTCCTCTGAGACTAGGATCCTACCTAATTTTTGTCAGATCCATGTACCACTCACCTACCATGACTCCGACTTAGAAGGAAAAAGAGAAGTGTCTCTTCTGAATGATATTCATTCTTATTGCTGGCCCCCTCCCTGGACTGCTGAGATCACTTGCTGGAAATGCCCTGTTGTGGTCTTTCTGCCAAAGGTCTTCTTCCTGAAGACTCTCCCGCCCGTGCCTGCAGTGACATCTGTCCCTTCGGTACCCACCTGAACCTATCGTGTGGCTCTAGTTTCAAGTCCTAAACTGGGAATTTGAGGGAAATTGGCTGTCTCTGAATATGTATTTTTGTTTTGTTTTAAACCCGTCTCAATACCACCACAAGCTACGTGTAGTTATCACACCTTATTTAGCTGTGAAGTTCTCGATTCTGCTCTCTGCGATACTTGTTGATACTGCTGGAAAGGAACCATCAAGTTATCCATCCATTCTTGAGCCTGTCCTGGATCCTGTTCGACAACGTCCTGAACTTCAGAATCCAGCTCATTTAGCTTAGAATGCCAGAAGTCTAGCTCATCCCACATTTTCTGGAGAAGGAAATCATAAGTCAATTTGAATGCAGATGCCATGGTTTATTGTATTAATTCCTAGTTTTCACATGGTATTTGTACTTGCAAAACAACATCGCAACAGTTATTCGCTTATGCCCAGCAACTACTGTGAAACTGAAAAACACTTTTTCTGAAGTCTCTTAACTCTAACCACATTCATTCATTTCATTACAAATTAGCTATAAAGGAACAGAAAGTCATGGACATTTCCAGAGATGAATGGCACCAAACAAGGTCATTGTAACCCTAATCTTTCAAGAGTGATGAGTTAACATTATGTTTAAAAGGGGCTCTGGTTAATACTTAAATCTATTTGGACTACTACATACACGTACTGAATCTAGAAGATATTAGTACCAATAGCTTTTGGCTCAAGAAACCAATATGTTGTCTGGGCAAAGAACATGTCAAAGGTAAAATATTTAATTCTTACTTAGTATTTGCTTAAGAACATAATTTCTAGAAATGGGAAAAGTGGACTGGCTAAATTACGTTCCTCTGCTTAATAAGAGTCCAAGATTTTATCCAATGGTAAACCATATTCTGACCTATTTTTAAAAGTCTCAATTCGTATTAGAATATTTCCTTAAAACAGAGTAGAATAAGAATGCTTTCCATATGCAAGAGTTTACTTGGGAGTTAAGAGGTGGAATACTATGTTTATGTACAGTTTTACCTAAGACTTTATTTCCTATGACATTTCACAGGGAAATAAAATTAGAATTTCTATTTTCCCATATCACCTTCCAGTCTAAAGAAAATCTGCTAATAGTATTCAAACCCTATTTTTTATTGTTATTGTACTTTTATTTGGCCATTGGAGTATTTTTTATTTTTCAATTACAGTTGATATATAATCCTATTGAAATATTTTTTAATCAAATAAGTTTCATAAATGTTCCATATTATATTCCCCAATATTATTTCACTTTAGAAAACCAAAGACTGAGAAATGCTCCAACACAGAAACATACTACCCTTTGTTTTTCACATTTATATTTATGCATTTATAATGTATATAGATTTTTTTCATTTATAATATTTTTATATCGGTCTTCCCAAGATAAGATCCTTCCTCTACTTGTGAAAAGGCTAGTTTGCAACCATAAGCTGTCAGGGGTTTGGATCTATTCCCACGATGGAAAAACTGAGATTAATTCTTAAATGAAATCTTCACCAAGCCTCTGCAGGCGACACTCTCAGTAAGGGCGGCCCTGTGGGTTTGAGTTCGGATGTCTGCAGTTCAGATTAATACAAAGAGCACATACTGTGATGACTGACAAATGGGAATACCGAATGCTGAAGAAAGTTAAAGGAGAATGTTACTTTACCTTTTGAATTTCTTGAGCTTTCTCAATATTTTTGCTTTTCTGCTGCAACATCTTCTCAACATTATGAAGCCCATTGTTAATTTCATCTATTTTTCTAGCCATTGCATATGATGGTGAACTTTTCAAGACTTCATTGCTAATCTATTACAACAGGACAAAGACAATATTTAGTTCAGACAAGTTTTACGTGCTCTAGTCACAGGTCCAAATGATAAAAAAGGTAGTCACACTGTTATGTGCTTTAATTATAAAAAATCTTTTAAGGGTTCTGGGAAAAATTCCAAACCATGCTGGCTAACGCATTAATGAGAGGGTATATTAGCAACTCTAGGAAATGGCAGTTGTGCTAATGTGATCTTTTAAATACAATATTAAAAAAAAAAAACACAAAATTTTGTTGAATGTAATCCACGGTATGAACTACAGATATGTGCTGTCTTGGGAAAAACTGCTGAGTGGACTGCTTGAAACATACCCCAATGAAAGATATGAAAAAATTCCTGGGAGATAAATAATTTATTATATAGTCTCCCTACTTCATAAGAAAATCCTCTCCACAGAATGGTTTTCAAAAAAACAAAACTTATTCTCAAGCCAACTTTTACAAAAATGTAATTCCCACTTTACTATTCATTTGAGTGGAATAATCTTCTAAAATTAGCTATTATTTGAGGATGCACAAAACTTAGTTTTCTCAGTGTGAATGTTTCTAGTGTATTTTTTCATAGCAATCAGAAATCTAGCTGCTGAATGGTGTAATTTTTTTATCTGAATGAAAATTTTAAAGGTTATCTCAAGAAAATAACTTAGGCTAGGAAAGATAATAAATGAATGTTGAATGTGTCATTTTTCAAATACCTTATTAGTTTGTTTAGGCTATGCTGATAAGGTTTTCTTCAAGCAGCCACTAAATAATCAAATAATACTTTCTGCTTTTGTATAATCTTTTAACTCTTTTAAAACCACTATCATCTGTATAGCCATAGAGATTACAATGTTTCATTGCAGATAGTATACAGATAAAGAAAACTAAACACAGGCTAAATGACTTGCTTAAGATCTCATATCCTGTTAGTGGTTGAACTTGTCCTTAGAAGCCCTAAGTCACCAGACTCCAGAGTCCCAGGCTCTTTTCATGACATCGAGGGGCAGATAATTTTACAAAATGTTTTTATTTTACAGACCATACCATGGTCAAATTTTTAGAAAAAAAAATTTAATCCTATATTGGACTTTTTATTGCTATGTAACAAATTACTACAAAAAGAAGCTTTCTGCCATTTCGGGAGGTATTCTCCTGGCAGAAATGCCTATCATTTAAGAACGTTAGGAAAGATTGTGATTTAGGAAAAGTAAGGCAGCATCTGAATTATACAGAATGGTACTGTCTTGTGGCCTGAATCCTTTAGATACATCACACATTGAAAATCAGTTGCTGTTACAAATATATAAGTTACAGTTGAAATTTTCAATCTTAAATTTAAAAGACGACTCTTGATTACTAAGTCACTTTGTCAGGTATTTTCACATGAAGTATTCATGAGAACAAATTTAGTTTCTGTCAAAACATTTAATGTTCTCTTAAAATAAAATCAATAGAGTACATGAGTCTTGAGAAAGTACCTCAAAACCGATTTTCTTGTATGTTAAATCAATGAGATTTCTTATAAAAATATATTAGGAGTTAACATGTTTTTTTACATGGGTTAGATTTTCTTAAGAAATCTGTCACAGAAGTTAACTAAATGTGAAATATATTTTTGTGTGTGTGCATTTAATATCTATTTTATGTACTAAGTATTATTAGTTTTAAAAGCAACACAAAAATCCTTCTGTGGATGCTGGACCAAGTAGAATTTTGTTCTGCTGGATCTGGGTTGCCTTTTTAAAATTCAATAAAATTGTCTTGCTAAACTCCTCGGTCTCTGGTACTATGAAACATTTCCACTGTTTCTTCTAACCTGGACTTCCAGGTATAAAGATTTGTCTATGTATAATTTGTAAGAATTGTGCTATGTCGCCATCATTAAAAAGACACTACGTGTTAAGTGGTATCCCTAGGGAGTTGTGAAATGTGTATTCTTACTGCCCTTTGTTGCTACTTCAAAATGTTCACAGGAAATGTTTTAAAGCAAAATATTATTCATGTCCGAAATTCTAAAGTGATTCTTCAGCTAAGAAAAAAAAATACTCCAAGTATAAGATAATGTACAATTATTTTTAAATGCAAGAGAAGAAAAACCAAGCATCATGACAACTAAAAAGAAACAGATTACCTAATTCTGTTTTCTACGTGACTTGTTTAGAGCAATTTCATCTCAATATTCAATACACAAAATTAACAATTAACTGAACGCTATAAAAAACAATTATAGCTGGAATCAGGGTAAATGAAAATATGATATTTTCTTTTCATTCAACTTCATAAATAATAACACTAGTACAAACATTATTATTACCTTCTCATCTACGTCTTCTAAAGCTTTTCTGCATTCTTCCGCCTGGGATTCAATCTCTGCGGGAACTATGGTGTACATTTCAGAATACTTGATTCGGAGTTTTTCCATAATATTTTCAAAAGTTAGCTTCCCTTTCTTAAAAATGCTTTGAAGCTCCTAAAAACATCAAGAGAGTTTCAATACTCACAGGATGGGGAAAAAGTTTAACACTAAAAATGAAATCAAGCCTTCTAGCACATCCTTATGATTTAAATAAGCAAATTTTGCATGACAAAACCCCACTTTTGATACAAGCTGATTAAGCCTGAGAGATACTCAGCCTGGTCAGATGATGCTAATTTGTAAGAATTAAACTTGATATCTCTTCAGAGTGTCAAACCATTTTTCTTAAAAAGACATTACAACATCTCCTGCTTCTAAAGTACCTCTAAGGACTTAACTGTATCTCAGTTGCTGTCTTGATCTAAAAAGCTGCAAGTAGCAAAAGGTTTCAAAGAAGTTTTTGTTGTTGTTATTAACTTGTTGCTATTTCTGCTTCTTCCTACATTATCATCACAATAATTCAAGGCCACTAAAAGCCCTATGCTTGAAGCTGAAGTGTCTGCTTTCATGTAATTAGACAGCCCAGCAGAGTTCAACTTCTTTTTAAAAGGAGGGTTCCAGTTCCACGCAAAGAATGCGGGTTTCAGGAGATAAAAGAAACCTGAACAAACAGTCTATTGGTTGTGGCCTAGAAACCCAATCTGATCTACGTTCTCTTGCACTAATTATAAAGGAGAAACTCATTTGTTTGGGAAAGTTTCCCAAAGATCAAGTGGAAAAATACTTCTTGACTTTGCTGTGGCTTTCTGGGGTTTGCTTTGTTTTTACAGTAGCTGTTCAGTAGCATTATTTGTGTTAATGGATTGAGTCACCACACTGAAGAATGATTACAATTTTGAATGATTCCATGATGTGATACTGTTTTCCTTTTCTTAACCCTCATTAGAGAACAAATCTGGAGAGAAAGCTAAAGAACAATGCCATTCAGACAAAACTGGGGTTTGAGGTACAGTGTCATCCTATTTTACCTAGACTAATCTGGGAGTACAGGTTTTCATTCGGTGCTACAAAGATGGCTTCCGAAAGAAGACTGCTGTGAGAGAGAATAAGTTTCCTTTTTTAACAGTGATAACCAAAAACTCTGGTTAACAATGGCATGCGACTTTTGAATAAACTTCCCAATGTCAATGTGTCTGTTACTATTGGACTGAAATGAAAAGAGATCATTCTGGGGGGAGGGGGAGGAAGTTCCCAAGTGACACAGGGGCATGTGCATAATCTCTGTGATACTGTGATATTAATAATATATAGAGACATTTATAAATACAGATATTTGGTCTTCATCACTGGTTATTGGCACAGCTTCTAAAACTCTTGGAATTTCCTGGATAGGGGTGAGAGGAGTATCTTTTGTTATTTATAACAACACTTTTTCAATCCTATCTGAGTTTATGTCAATGAGATGACTCTTGGGGGTGGGGTCCAAGATAGCTTCAGGATGGGGGCTGGTTACCAGAGGAACCAACCACTTGATTACAGTGGTGGAATTTTCCGCTCTACTTCCCAACCACTAGGAAGGGGAGATGGGCTGGAGGTTGAGTTAGTCACCAAAGGGCAATAATTTAGCCAATCATGTCTATATCGTGAACCTCCATAAAATCCCCTAAACAATGAGGTTTGGAGAGCTCTAGAGTGAGTGAACACATCAAGGTATAGAGGGTTGGCAAGGTACTAGGGGGAGGGCACGGAAGGTACCTTATACCTTACCCTATACATCTCTTCCATTTGGCTCTTCCTGAGTTGTATCCTTTATAACAAATCAGTAATAATAAGTAAAGCTCTTTCCCAACTTCTGTGAGCCATTCTAGCAAATTATTGAACCTGGGGGGAGGGAGTTTGTGAGAACCCCTGATTTACAGCCTACCAGTCAGAAGTACCAGAAGTCTGGAACTGATCACTGGTGTCTGAGGTGGGGCAGTCTTGTGGGACTGAGCCCTTAACCTGGGGCAGGGGCGGCGGGGAGGGGCGAGCAGGGGAGGGAGGTCGTCCTCCATGCTAACTCCTGGTGGTTAGTGTCAGAATTACATTGAATTTTAGGACATTCGGTTGGTGTCCAGGGGGTTGGAAATAGGTTGGTGTGGGGGAAAAAACAATAACACATATGTGATGTCACAAGTGTTGTACGTAAAAACAGTTCTACCTTGTCAGAAGTAAGATATTACATCCTACTGAAGTGAGTTATGTAACATGCTACTCTTCAGTGGTCTGCGGCCCTGGTTCAACAAACACACTTAACATGTGGTTGAAGAAGGGCTGCTTGGTCCAGACTGGCCTACTTTCCAACCTGGTCTCATCCCTGCTCTTTGCTCTCCACCCACACTGATCTTTCATGGCTCTGCCCACACCATGCCATGGGGCCTTTGAGAGTGCTTTCCTCTCTCTTGGACCATTCCCTCCTCCCTAGACATTGAGCTACCTCTGTCCCAAGGACTCTGGATTCAAGACTGCCTGTATCGGCCACATTCACCACTTCATTTCTCACTTACCTCAAACTGTTCTGCCTTTTCTGGGTGGTCTTGTAATTGCATATTTTGGAGAGAAGCTGTGGTCTGTTGAAATAGATTCTTCAAAGTAATTATTTCTTTTGCGAAAGAATGTCTTTCTTGGATTTCATTCTGTATCAATTCCTTACTTTTTTGAGCTTTCTGGAAAAGACTAAAATATAGTATCAAAATAACATTGTTTATCTATCCCGCTCTTTTGTGAAATAGTTTTATTTCAGCAAGTAACACAGTATCTGCATAGCTCACGAAAGATCTTTTTCTTGAGAAAAAAGTACTAGTTTCAATGATTTAAATATTGCATGTATAAATGTATATCGAATTCTATCATTCAATCAAAAACTTTTCCAAAACTTTCACCCCAAAATATCCTCTTTTCACACTTTACGTAACATTTGCCAACTCCTCTTTTTCTTCATGAAATCCTTGCGTTCCACGGAACTGACTTAGAGATGTGCATGAAGACATGAGTGGGTCCTCAGGGATAGACAACTCACCAGCCTTTACACCCTAGCTGACCCCATTTATTGTGGATGTACCCATCATATTAATAGAGAAGTTTAAGGGGGTAAAATCTTTCCTGAGAGCTATTAGGTAAGTATCTTTAGCTGTAAATTACCGCCTTTAAATTATTGACCCAATGATTCTGCTTCTTAGCATCTTTCTCAATGAATTAATCACAGATGCAGATAGAGATTTTGGCCTAAGAATATTCATTGTAGTGCTTTATAAGAGTAAAAAAAATTACATATAATTTAAAGGTTCTTCATTAGGAGCTAGTTCAATAAATTATGGCATATCCACATGGAGAAATATTACGCAGCTATGTTTTAAGGAGCATTTAATGGCAAAGGAAAATAAACATGATATGTTGATTTAAAAAATCAGAATACAAAACAGTATGTTTGTTTACTATGTTTACAATTTGTTTAAAAATATAAGCACAGTAAAAAAGGATGAGAAAAAAGTGACTGGCAGTGGTTGTTGCTGAGTGGCAAAATTAGAGATGGGTTTTATATTAATCTTTATAATTTTCTCCATTCTCTAAACTTCCTATAATAAATATGTATTGCTAAATTAGAAAAAAGCGAACAGAAAAAAAACTGAAGTGTATTCACCCTCAGGAATACAAAGATGAAGAACGTGAGCTTGTTTAAATGATCATTATTAATCTTTTCGATCCCTTTTATACCTCAGTGTTGACTCAACTCAATTCTGTCATATCATTTGTGATTATTCTATAATATTTTTATGATCTTGACATTCATTATTTTCTCAAGTTTAAACTTGAGTTGTCAAGCACGTTTCTTAAGTTTTTCATAAATCTTACTTATCACATCGTTCTCGCATAGATGTCATCTCTTGAAATGCGGGAACAGTTTCCACAGCCGTTGAGCTTTCGGGAGCATTCTGGATGCTTTTAATGCGCTGAAGAAGCAGGGCCAGTAACAGCTGCTGCTTCTCCACATTCTCTTCATATTGGCTTAAACAGTCTAGTAGCTCAGAGAGTTCCTCTGTGCTGGCTGCTTCTTTTGTTTTGGAAATTTCAGGGAGTTCTTCTTGAAGATTATCTAAAATAATTGCTTCTCGTTCAATCTAGTTCAACAAACAAAAACAAGAGAACGAAAATAAGTAAAATAGACTCTTTCCATTTCAGGAATGGAAAACATACCTTGGCAACCATAATGTTTGTATACTGGCTCTCCAAAAAGCACCTGATGCCATATCCTACTTCAAAGTAATATATGTCTTTTTATAGCTGGACTATTATATCTCCATGATCAGAATCCCATAGTTCCCAGCTACTGATCATGTAGATGTGTGATTAAAATGAAGTACTGCTGTTATGAGCTAAAGGAAACGCTGTTGAATATTTTCATAAGTAATTTCTTTCTCTTTCAGATTTCAGTTGCATAAAGCAACTATTTCTCCTGAGATACCCATAAGGTAGTTAGAATGAGCTTCACCAAACTGCATCTACTAAATATTAGAGGTTAGAAAACTACTGGATAATTTTTCTATGTTTCTTTTCTTTCACATCCCCTCCCAATGAGCTCAAAAAAGTAAGTCCGGTATGTCCTCATTACCCTGACACCTACACCAATGGGAAAGCAGCCCAAATTACTGAACATAATCATGTACTTATTGACAGCTATGTGCAGATCCCAAAAATACATTACTTACTGCATCAAATAATGGGAAAAAATTGGAGTTCTATCAGCCCTGAACTCAGAATGAAGACACAGAGAATGAGATCCCTCTTCTGTGTCTCCTCAAATTCTCTGGCCCTCGCCTCAGCTGCACAGTCCATTTACCATGATCTGCTCTGGCACTGTTAACTCTGCTCCTCTATGTTCCAACCAAGTCAGGCATCTAGCAATCTTGACATTACAGAACATCACACCAGGCAACTATATTTATGATATCGTCTAACTGAAATGATGAATGAGAACCCGGAAGACAGAGGGTAGGAAATGAAATTTTAAAAAAAATCTAGGAATTCCAAATTACGTTTCCAGGGGCCCAATGGTCTGGGGCATGCCAGAACCTCTATAAGGTAATGATCAAGTTGTTCAATCTTGTACCTCTACCGCTAAAAAAAAGGCACAGAACTAGATGAGCCTATGGAATTTTGGAGGCAATCAGTATATGCTGTACTTGGACATATTGCTCAGATCCATTTATCAGAACACTGTCAATGTTAAGGAGGGCCTGGTCAAAAAGAGGCACATCAGCAGGGCTGGGCTGTGATATAAGCTGCCCTGCCACTTAGGCTATATAATCCAGTTGAGTCCCAATCGCTAGAATACATGGGTGCAGCGGTAGACTAGCCCCTCTCCAAGAGACCCAGTTATGAAATTTGTGCTTTCCATCCCTTCAAACCTAAATTCAGGTAGATCAGAAGTCCTGGCTCTCATGCAGGTAGCCATATTTCCACTAGGGATTGAGATAAGTGTTCCACTGGGTCATTTTGCAGTCCCCCTGCCAAAGAACCAGCATGCAAAGAAAGGAACTGCTATACTGACAGAGGTAATTGTACATCTAGAGTTTCCAACATGCATCCAGGTTCAAAGAACTACGTGTATAATCTAGGACTTAATGGAACATCTCTTGGTGCTTCTGTGCCCAGCTATAACCATAAATGGGCAACTGCAGCAACCAGGATCCAATAGGAGTAAAGCAAATAAAGGCTCTGATCTTTCCCGTTTCAGCTCTCCTAGTCCCCCACTCCTGTTCCCTAAGATCACTTTCCAAAATAAACCACCTGCCTGCAAGTCCCTGTCTTAAGCTCTACTGTCTGCTGTGAGTTGGTAAGTGATTAAGGAGGGGAACACAAGAAGAATAATTTTCATTAGCACAATAATTTTACTCAAAAGCCAGGCAATTCTTCAACTTGTGAATGGATAAACAAACTGTTATATGTATGCTCAGTAAAATATTACCCAGGAATAAAAAGAAATGAACTACTGATTCAGGCAGCAACATGAATGAATCTCACGTGCATTATGCTTAGAGAAAGCGGCCAAACTCATAAGGCCACAAATTATCTGTGTCCATTTATGTGTCATTCTGGAAATAACAAACTAGATTAATGGTTGCCATGGGCTGGAGGCAGATTCTGTTTAAGAAAACAGAGGTAAGACTGGTGAGTGAAAGGGGGAATAAATAAAAATTTAAATTTATTTTTTAATTTGTAAATTTAAACAGAACATTTAAGTTTTCAAAAATCTACTTATGCGAAACCTTTATTCCATAATGATACTGCATTATTATACAATTATGGACATTTTATTTATTTTTTTATTAAAAAAATTTTTTAAATTATTTCATTTATTTATTTATTTGTTTGTTTTTTAAACACCTATAGCACCTGGTATTCCTAGGTGGTCTCCATCCAAGTACTAACCAGGCCCGAGATCAGACGAGATCGGGCGCGTTCAGGGTGGCATGGCCGTAGACTAATTACAGACATTTTAAAAACAGAAATTCATTTTGTATATATAAATTCACCAAACATGCTAACAGGATCTTGCATGTACAGGATCTTGCATGTACAGCTCTTTAGTTGATAGAATTTTTCTTGAATAGATAAAAGCTATTTTAAAATCTTACCTCAATTTGGTATGCACAAGTATCATTTACATTGATAGTTTAGTGGTAAACGCCAGAGTCTAAGTTTGAATTCTCGTGTACCATTCACGTGTGAACTGGGGCAAGTTACTCAATCTCACTGTCTCACTTTCCTCATCTATAAAATGAGGATTATGAAAATATCTACCTCATAGGATTATTGCAAAGATAAATGAAAATACATGTAAAGAGCTTAGAACTCTGTCTGACACATGCTCAATAAGCACCCACCAAATATCAGTAGTTGTTATTGTTATTACATGAGAACATTTTATTTTCGTTCCTCCTTAAAAAACATTTTATTAGCAGATAATGTCAAATGTTTGTATGAATAATTAGAGTCCTAAATGAATGGGATCTGAATTAATAAAGCATAATTGCAAATGGGTATATAACAATAGAGAGACAATGTAATAAAATAAAAAGAACGAAAGCTTAGAATTAGTCTAGACCTGGGTTTGAATGAGAGCTGTCCCTCAAAAGTATCTACTAAATGTCCACTAAGTGTAAGTACCTGGTTGGATTCTAAAGTAACAGCAGTGAGCAAAAGAGATATGGTCCCAGCCTGCAGGAGTCTATAGCTCAATCACTAGCTGGAAGGTCTTGTACCAACTTAAATCTCTCAGTGCCTCAGCTTCCCCATTAATAAAATGGTAATAATTCCTGAAGGCAATACAAGGATTCAGTGGCATCTTGTGTGAACTGCCTTCTTTGTGCAGCACACAATCTACTGCAGGAACTCAATAAATGGTACCATTGTGGATGGGGAAGAACTGGAGGCTAACAGTCCTGTTGAAAGTGTATTTTACAACGTTTCTTAGAGTTTTAACATTCAAGAGACTATTTACTAATTAACCATACCAGCACCACCAAAATGATATTCATTTTCAAGAACATCAAGTTTTAAGCACGAAAATGTGACAGTACTGAACATTTAAATCCCAAAGCATGAGCTACCTCTAAT